TTCTGGTCACAATCCCCCGTAAAGGTAACTACCATCCTTTTTACCACTTCTAACGCCTTACATGAATTTTGTCTATGTGTTTGAACCTTATATACGTGGAATCACGTAGTGTATGCTTTTTGTGCATCTGGCTTCTTTCAGTCAAAATCATATTGTGAGATTCATCCATGTTGTTGTGTGAACTTCTGGCTGCCTCCTTGGGCAGAGGCAGGGAGGAGAAGCAGGTAATCAGGTTGGAGGGGGACCTGGGCAGTTATGAAGACACAGCAGGTAGACACTCTCTTTGCTACCTTGGCTTATCCTTGAGTGTAAAATAGGGCTCATACTTTTGCTCAGCTTACCCGGTCTGTGTTAGAGATAAAAATGTCACTAGACTTGTCACTAGACTTCAGAAAAAGCAGGAGGGGCGGGATCACCCTCTTACCCATACCTGCTGACTGACTGGGCATTGTCAGGTGCACATTTTCCAGGGCCGGGCTCAGAATTGGGGTGTGCAGGGAATCATAGTCCCTGTTCTGGGCAGCCCTGCTTGGAGCTCTGAGCTCTGCCAAGCCTTCTCAGACCACTGGCCAACAAGGACTGGGTCACCAAGCCTGGCTCTCATTGGTTCCTGACATGTCAGAGGAGGGGTGTCCCAGGTGATGGCTCAGGCCCAGGTATTCAGACAACCGGCTGAGCTCAGGATCTTCCTCCAAGGAGTGGTAACCGCCTCTCAGTTGTGCTGGCCCAGCCCTGCAGGTCCACCCGTCATGGACTCTGACTTTCTGAGGTGACATGGCTTGAATACTTCTACCTCTTCAAGCAGGTTTATTTGTTTACTTCCTTGGGGCTTTGAAGGCTGCCTAAGGAATCATGAATCAAAACAAGGGAAGCACCATGCTAACTCCTGTCTGAGGTCAGACAAGCCAGTCATCTGCTTGGTGCCTCAGCTTCCTTATAGTTAAAACTGGGGAATAGTAATGTGTAATTTTATGGGGATGTTGTGCAGATAAAATGAGCTGGTGTGCAAGACAGAACTTTTTAAAAGATCAAGAGATATGTAATGATAATTTAGGTCATTATTTGTTATTTTGATTGGGGGTAAGAGGGGCCATACATTTAATTTGAAAAAAGTGTGACTTTTGGAACAAACAAGAATGAATTCTGGTTTTGCAACAACATACATGCTATGCAGTTTTTGATGTTATAAAAATCTCTCTGAGCCTGTTTCTTCATGTGTAAAATGGTGTTAGTGATACTTAACTAGGAGGGTTGTCAAAATCAACTATGAATAATAAAGTGAAGAGATAAAATGGAGTCACTATAGTCAAGCTGTTAAATACTAAAATCAGGTAGGTTGAGGCACAAGGAAACAATTTTATTCTTGTTTTAACTAGCTTGGGAACTTAAACTTTTGAACTTTTTAGTCCTGCATCAATGCCTGGATATATATCAAACCTTAAAATAACCCTCTGATGATCTCCTGAAGGAGTAAGTAAGAAATGTGCAGGTATCTAGACCACAGGTCATCTAGAGCAGTGGTCGCCAACTGATGGTTCATGAAGCAATGGTGGTCCATGAAGTCCGAAAGTTGGCGACTGCTGATCTAGAGGATTACCATCTCAGATCAATCCACAGTCTAAAAATTCATAACTGCTTCTTCTCAAAAATGTACTTTTTACTATAAGAACTCTTAGCTTTTCTTCCTTTTTTGGGAACACTCTGGATATGGCCTAATTGTGTTTCAGG